TACACCTAAAGAAAGTCATCTTAGTGCTGTTAAAAGGATATTTAGATATCTCAAAGGTTCTGATGACCTAGGTTTATGGTATCCAAAATCTGGACCTTTGGCTCTAATAGGTTATTCAGACTCTGACTTTGCTGGAAGCATAACTGACAGAAAAAGTACTAGTGGACACTGTCAATTCTTTGGGGGGTCTCTAGTGTCCTTGTCCAGTAAAAAACAAGGGTCAGTAGCACTATCAACAGCTGAAGCAGAATACATGGCTGCTGGCAGCTGTTGTGCTCAAATCCTCTGGTTAAAATCTCAATTATTAGACTATGGATTCTCTCTTAGTAAAATACCTATACTGTGTGACAATACAAGTGCAATATGTATGTCCAAGAACCCTGTTCAACATAGCAGAACCAAACACATTGAAGTCAAGCATCATTTCATTAGGGATATTATACAGGCTGGTCATATTGAATTAGACTTCATACCTACAGAATTTCAAATTGCTGATATTTTTACAAAAGCCTTACCTTCTGAAAAATTTATTAAACTCTGCGGTGAACTTGGACTACAGTCCCTGCACTCGATTCAGAATAATCAATAATCCAGGTACTATCCTTCCTCTCTCAAACTTTAAATAAAGTCAGTATTTATGAGTGAGTTTGCTGATTGGAATGATTAAGTATACATGAACTAGTTGTTTAAGTTCCCTATGCCTTGAGATGCTGCTTGCTGTTGACTGATGTTCTTGGTTACGCTTCCCACACAATAACTGCAACTCTTTGTATTCTCTCTTTTAGTATTTATATCCTGCCAAATCCTTCCGATTTTCCTTCAAGCTTTAAACCATATCCTCACAATGACTGAGCTCTTCACTTCATCGAATATCCCTGGTGCTATTGTAACATATGTTGGGAGAACCTTCAATGAACCGATAGAGTTCAATCTTCATAGATTTAAGGAATTCTATGCCAATAGGAAACTTTCTGATCCTTTAGCTCTCGACCTTTATAAATTCAAAGCCTCTGGGGTAGATATCTCGCCATTCATCAGGAACCTAGGATGGGAATTCCTTCTCCATTATCCACCCCTTGCTGCCTGTCCTCTGCCTGTCAAAACTTTCTATGCAAATCTTGATTGCCAAGGCATCATTACCAGAAAACTCACTACTCTGGTCAATGGATACTTCATCTCTCTTATTGCTGAAGCCATTGGTATCTTGCTCAATCTGCCTGTTGATGGACCTCTTCCTCTTGCTCATGAGGATGAATTCCTATTCTATGATTTCGATTTTGAAGTTGAGTACTCTCGCATAGCTCAGCGAAGAGTTGCTGCCCATGAAGTCATCACCTCTGCAGACCTGAATCCAACTCTTCGCACCCTTCATTACTTCATCACCCATCTCTTCCTTCCCCGTGCTCATGGTCTCAATATTGTCACCAAAATTGATCTCTGGGTCCTCTCAAATGCTCTGACCAAACTAGATTACTCTCATCTTCTCTTTGGCTCATTGGTTCGAAATGCTGATGCTCATCTTGAAGGGCGCCTTCCTTATGGGGGATTCATCACCCTCTTACTGGCCAATCTTGGTCTGTCCCTTGATGGATACTCCTCTGTAGACACCTCTGTTTTTGTTCCCGCCCTTACTGTCCTGAACTACCTAGGGATTGAACCTCAGCCTTCGAAAGGGGGAGGATCCTTCGACCCAGCTGCTATCAAACTTCCAAAACATAAACCAAAAATCCTGCAATCTGGTGAATCATCCTCCATCCGCAAAAATCTGATCATCTCTTTCGAAGAAGAAGCTGAACTTGAGCCCGAGAATCTATCTGAAGAAGAAATCCGCCAGTTTGCTGAAGATCTTGAAAAGGAGATGCTGGCTGGGTCTGGAACTCAAGGGGAGAAAGATGAGAAGATACTGAAAACATGATGGAAGAGAATGCTGGGACTCAGGGGGAGCCAAAGGAGAACTCTGATCTGAAAGATTAAAAGTTGTTTGAACTGTTTGAGTCATATCATCTGTTTGAAAGATCACAATGATCTACATTTTGCTTATTTATATGTCGTTTGTTGCTGGTTTAAAAGACCATAAAGGTCTATGCTGTGTCTTATTGTGTTTTGCTTTGGCTGTTAAATAAAAGGATCATAGAGGTCTTTGGTAAATACCCTGCTGATATGAACTTTCACCTTGATCATTGCTACTGATTACGAGATACTCTGCTTGTCTAGCTTGAGTGCTTGACTGTGAGTGTGTTATAATAATGAACTATCTCCTCATAATTTCATTCCAGAAAATGAATCTGTGCTGATGATACAGGAATGAGAGCTTGATCGCAGGGGGAGATTGTTGGGCCAATGGGCCCAGAAAGTCTCGAAACAAAAGAGCTTTGACTAAGCCCGCTCCAGCAGGCCCAAGGCAACACTCGGCCACCTTCGAGACAGACGAAAGCGTCTTCGCTTTTATTCCTTCCTCATCCATCGAAAGAACCAAAACCAGAACAGCTCATGTCGAACAATACATCAGAATCCTTCCCCTTCACTAAGCAACGGTCATGGCGTTTAAAGAAGAGAGAGAGGAGGCGAGGATTGAAGGTATACTTAAAGGCAACTCAGGGAAGGAATCAACTGACGGTTTCCTTTCTCAGTAAGAGCGGAGTGGCTCTTTGGGAGTAAAGGTTAGGGTTCGGCTTGTTTGTGTCTGAATACGCTTGAGTTGGGACTTCTAAGTCAGGAACTCAAGCCTATTTGGGCATAGCGTTAGTTTGTTCTTTCCTTCTTCTTCAATTCTCTTGAATGTTGGTTGAATTGAGTTTAAATTAGAGTAATTCAACTTGAATCAAGTTACTGCAAAATTCACTCTGCGGATTACTTCCTTTGAACTCCTTTTTAAATCTATTCTTTGATAACTTGACTAAATGGGATAAACCAGTCGACATTGGTAGTTAACAGTCTCTTCCTGGGCCTTAGTGACCCATAGCTCTACCATAATTAGGTGACACTCCGTAACAACATCGACAATGACAATAGTTAAAAATGAGCGATGTCAATGTATCAATTGACCACATCTTCAAGGACAAGCTAGGTAGTATTTTCCGGCTTCACATAGGCTATCATATCACAGCATTAACCAAGATTTCATCCTTATTTACTCTTAAAGACTCCCTATTGCTTCCCGGGTCCCTACAACCCATTGGCCTTTTCCTTTGGGGTCTCTGACTCTCCCTCAAAGCGACTCTTCCTGGTAGGCGAATCCCCCAATCCTCTTATTGAGGAGTGAGTATATCTTGAGACACAACCAATTTCGTCGTAAGGTTTTCCTTCCTTTGACAACTATCTCAATTTTCATTCCACTTTTCGATAGATTACGCATTATAAATACATTATAATTAACTAAATCGTTTCATTATCTCATGCATTGCGCAAAAGTTATGTAAGAAAAACTAGCCTTTCTATAGTGATAAATGTGATATTCTTCATAACTTAATTTTATTACTAAATCACATACTACGCAAAATTTATGTAATACGATTCTATAGGCGCAACTTTTCAAGCTCCTTCAATAGTTGGTACTCTAGTGCATTCAGACTTTTAATATCTTCAAAGAAATATTGTTGTCTATAATTGAGCTACTTGGTCCATAGTTTTTCGAGTTGAAGATTTTGGATTGCTGTCATCTTTAGATTTTGTGTGTTTGATAAAGCAGTGACCATAGTACATACTCGAGAATATTCTATTAAGTTATATTCTATTAAGAAACTGTGCTAAAAGAGGAAGATGGAGAAGGAGGGTAAGAAAACGAGGGCAAAAGTGTACTTTCATTAAATTGTCTCATCTCAATTGCTTCATCTCAAATGCCAAGCCAAATAAGACAATTTGAGACAAATATATCATACGATTGTTTCATTTAGTAAAATGAGACATTTACATCAAATTGGCTCATTTTGAAAATGTTTCATCCAAACGACCCTATAAGTCTTTCATTCATTATATAAGTTTGAACGAAAATTTCTAAACTATTAACGATTGGCGATCTCTTCAGTTTGAACTACACAAAGATTTTGCAAGGTCTAATATTCTTTAGATGATAGTTTAATCAAATGTGATATTTTTATACGGCATTCACTTATTATTAACTAAATTTTTTAATTATAGGCTACTATATTCAATATCTCATCAATTAGCATTACAAAAATTAAAAAATTTGCAAGATGAGTTAATCTTACGTAATAGTTTAATCAAATGTGAGAACTGTAATTTGATTTTATTATTAGATCACACATTACCGAAGATTATGTAACCTCATTCTAAATCAGTTATTAAAAAATACATAGTTTATCAAATGTGAGAACTGTAATTTGATTTTATTATTAGATCACATATTACCGAAGATTATGTAACATCATTCTAAATCAATTATTAAAAAGAAGATTATGTAACATCATTCTAAATCAATTATTAAAAAATACATAGTTTATCAAATGTGAGAACTGTAATTTGATTTTATTATTAGATCACACATTACCGAAGATTATGTAACATCATTCTAAAACAGTTATTAAAAAATACATTGTGAAGGTTGAAGAGATAATTAGATGAATCATCGTAAAATCTTTGGGAGTGTCTTACTTAAAATATTTTGTGAATAACTTTATTCCAGCTACATCACTAAATGAGTGGATGTAATTTTATTACCAAAAGAGATAATTTGCTTATTGCCGCTGCGGGTAACAAAACTAGTATAGCTAACAACGCAAGTTAATTTGAGATTTTGAGTGCCTAGTTAACATATTTTCACTACGAATACAGTAATTTGAATGTTAAGTTAGCTTATGATTAATTAATTTACTTTATTTACTACGACTTCAATATTATATTAGGTATACTTAATATCAAGGCTTACGTAGTAGCTAACACTATCGATTTGAAGTTTTGAACTCGAAACCAGCCTCTATGGCACAAAAACGAAGAACCAAGATGAACAGCAAAAGGGTCGAGAGAAGATGAAATCTGGACCTTCAATTCTCGATCTCGGAAGCAACCTCCTCACTTGAATCCCTGGCGGCTTCCTCCGCCGCTGCTGGATTTTGATCCGAAGACGACGACGAAGAGAGAAGTCGCGCGGGACTAGTTTCAGCTCCACCACCGAAACTCCCAAGGAGTCGGCAACCGGAGAAGGCCGTGGGGGAAGAGAGATTTCTTTGGAATTGGGATGTCAAGTTTTTAATTAATCCTTTTTCCTTCCATTTCAATTGCAGCGCAGTTGATACTCTGCGACTACTCTACAACAGAAGCAAGCTTAGACGCGACGGAAAGGAGAAGAGCCAGAGCCGAACCTGTTGGCAGCGCCGCCGCCTCCATCTAGCGCCAATTGATTGGTTATTTGACCGAGCCAGGACAAGAACTTCCTCGGTGAAGCAAGCCTATGGAGGAACTTGAGCTTGGGCTTAATCTTGATCCGGCACAAGGTCGTCCACCTCCGAGCTCGACCTGCCGAATATCCTAGTCGAGGCGGCGGAAGAAGCGCCGTCGATGCGGTGGTAGCCCTGCCGCTTCCAGTAGCGTCTCATTTTGGTGTAGACGGTGGCAGAGATGCCTTTCCATTTTGGGGAATTTGTTGTATTTGAGAATTTGAATGGTTGAAGTGAATAGTGAGAAAATGGGGATTTGGAGGATTCCCTGGCGAGGATCAGGAAGGGAGAGGAAGCACCACCTGGACTTCAGCAATGTGACACTTGGCTACATGCATGGAATCAATGTGTCCGCCGCTACTGTGATGTGATCATACACATGTAGAGACCCATAATTTCTTCTGTTCGGCCCAAAAGCTCTGGATCCAGCCTTTTTCTTTTTGTTCAGCCGCAAAGCTTAGCAAATAGCAACAAGATGGTTTGCGTCACTTTGCCTTCCATTTTTGGCTCTTGCAGCTTGCAACCTTCGATCATGAATTGTAAGTGTAACCCATTAATTATTATTTTTAGGTAATGACGGTTATACTCCCGGAATAGTATATTCCAGGTGATCTAGTCGTTAGATATATTTGGATGAGCTCTAACCAATCTCAATGATCGATTTTATTTTTCTATTAAATTGAACTTTGGGTTTGGGTTTAGAGAATTGGGGGTTGGAGTTTATCTATTAGAAGTTAGAGTATAGTATCATACTCAAAATTCGATTTAATTCATTGTCTAGATAAAGATATTTCAGTAAAAGTACCTGGAATATAGTATACTCCAGGAGTACACCAGTCTGACCCCTTTTTTGTTAGATAATTTGATCAAATTGATTGGTTTATCAACAAAAAATTTAGATAGCTCGAATCAATTTATTTTTAGTCAATTTCAATTGTTTGAAATATGGTAGGTAATAAATTATCGAAAAAAGTATGGTTGCTAATTTTTCAATCGCACCATTAGTATGATACAATTTATCAAACACTACTTTTTTCGTAGTATTAACAAACACCAAAAAGCCGCCTGAGTTCTATCTTTCACTCATTGTGGGAAACCCGACCACGGGGTAGGGTGAGAGGGCCGGACTCGGCCAAGAGGGGAGGGAAGAATGGCAAACTTGTAATTTATGTTATTTTCGGTTTACTGCTACTTAAGGCTACAACTCATTAGTTTTGGGAATTAAACAATAATAATCAGAAATTCTCAAATCCCTAATCTCTCTTCTCTCTCTTGTTCTTCCCTAATTCTCCAAATCCCTAAATTCTTCTCTTCTCAATCCCTAAATTCCCAATTGGGATTTCTTGTGTCTTACATCTGGTATCAGAGCCTGCGTTCGTCGATGAGTTCTTCCCAACTCTCGGACCTGTCATGGGCAGAACTACGGGACAGAGCCCGCCGCATAGGCCGTCGTTGGCTGCCTGCGGAGCTAGAGCCCGCGCTCCCCGACGCGGCGCCCCTCGCCGTTGCCCCCACGGCGGCCCTCGCCGCCGCCCCCGCGCGCCTTCCACCGCCTGACGCGGCCGCGCCGCGCGCCTCTCCCGCGCTGCCTGCACTCGGTGGCGGGATGGGCCTCCCCGGGTACTCTTCGTTTCCGAACTCGAGTCGAGGATCGCGTGGCCATCACCCTAGTCGACAGTGGCGCGTCCTTGAACTTTGTGGGAGAGGAATTCGCCAAGCACCTGCAGCAGGAGCCCGTGGCCACCGATCCCATGGTGGTGAAGGTGGCGAATGGTGCTCCCTTGAGCTGTGAAGGGGTTCTTCGAGGTATCTCTTTGGAAATTCAAGGTCTGCCTATATCCACAGATCTGTATGTACACTACTTTTTTTCGTACTATTAACAAACACCAAAAAGCCGCCTGAGTTCTATCTTTCACTCATTGTGGGAAACCCGACCACGGGGTAGGGTGAGAGGGCCGGACTCGGCCAAGAGGGGAGGGAAGAATGGCAAACTTGTAATTTATGTTATTTTCGGTTTACTGCTACTTAAGGCTACAACTCATTAGTTTTGGGAATTAAACAATAATAATCAGAAATTCTCAAATCACTAATCTCTCTTCTCTCTCTTGTTCTTCCCTAATTCTCCAAATCCCTAAATTCTTCTCTTCTCAATCCCTAAATTCTCAATTGGGATTTCTTGTGTCTTACATCTGGTATCAGAGCCTGCGTTCATCAATGAGTCCTTCCCAACTCTCGGACCTGTCATGGGCAGAACTGCGGGACAGAGCCCGCCGCAGAGGCCGTCGTTGGCTGCCTGCGGAGCTAGAGCCCGCGCTCCCCGACGCGGCGCCCCTCGTCGTTGCCCCCACGGCGGCCCTCGCCGCCGCCCCCGCGAGCCTTCCACCGCCTGACGCGGCCGCGCCGCGCGCCTCTCCCGCGCTGCCTGCACTCAGTGGCGGGATGGGCCTCCCCGGGTACTCTTCGTTTCCGAACTCGAGTCGAGGATCGCGTGGCCATCACCCTAGTCGACAGTGGCGCGTCCTTGAACTTTGTGGGAGAGGAATTCGCCAAGCACCTGCAGCAGGCGCCCGTGGCCACCGATCCCATGGTGGTGAAGGTGGCGAATGGTGCTCCCTTGAGCTGTGAAGGGGTTCTTCGAGGTATCTCTTTGGAAATTCAAGGTCTGCCTATATCCACTGATCTGTATGTACTGCCAATCAGGGGATTCGACATCATTTTGGGGATTTCGTGGCTGCAGAGTCTGGGTCCCGTGACTAGTGATTGGCAGCGGTTGACCATGCGTTTCAAATGGAGGGATAAGGAGTGGAATTTGCAGGGCCTCACTACTGCTGTAGGACCCATCTCGTTCGAGGAATGCGGCCCGGGAGGCGAGGCCGAGTTGACCATTCTGTGTTGTCCGATCGAGGAGTTGCTCGGACACTACTCGGATTTGTTCGAAACTCCCACCGCCTTACCTCCTCACCGACTGGTTGATCATCAGATTCAGCTAAAGGATGGAATGGAGGCAGTGAATGTGAGACCGTACAAATATGGGCATTCTCATAAGGAGGAAATTGAGAGACAGGTCTCTGAGATGCTGACCACGGGCTTGATCAGACCGAGCACCAGCCCGTTCTCGTCGCCTGTTTTGCTGGTAAGGAAGAAGGATGGGACCTGGCGCTTCTGCATTGATTATCGGGCTCTGAATGAGGCCACAGTGAAGGGTCGCTTTCCCATTCCGATAGTGGACGAAATGCTCGATGAGCTTCATGGGTCCCGCTATTTTTCTAAGCTGGATCTACGGCGGGGTATCACCAGATCCGGATGCAGGAAGAGGACGTCCATAACACAGCATTTCGCACTCATAACAGGCACTATGAGTACTTGGTGATGCCATTTGGGTTGTGTAATGCGCCCTCCACCTTCCAGGCGACCATGAACGAGATCTTTCTGGCTCTCCTACGTCGGTACGTTCTAGTTTTCTTCGATGATATCCTGATTTACAGCCCTTCATGGGCAGATCACTTGGCGCACTTGCAGGCGGTGTTCGAGATACAGAGGACGAATCAGTACTATATCAAGGCATCCAAGTGTGAGTTCGGGGTACAGGAGGTGGAATATTTGGGTCATATGGTGACTCCACAGGGTGTGAAGGTGAACCAGTCCAAGATTCAGGCGATGTTGGACTGGCCGGTTCCCACGACGGTGACTGAGTTGCGGGGCTTTCTGGGTCTGACAGGTTATTATCGGAAGTTAGTGCAGGGGTACAGCATGATCGCCTGTCCATTGACAGATCTACTAAAGAAAGGGGGGTTTGCCTGGTCACCGGCGGCGGAGGCTGCATTTCAGCGGCTCAAACAGGCGATGACGACCACTCCGACTCTCGCAATGCCGGACTTTTCCAAGCCATTTGTTATTGAGGCGGATGCATCGGGCAGTGGGATCGGGGCGGTGTTATCTCAGGACCGCCACCCCATTGCCTTTATGAGTAAGACGTTGGCACCCTCCAAAGAGGCTTGGTCAACGTACAAGAAGGAAATGCAGGCGTTCATTACTGCAGTATAGACATGGTGACCACACCGGCTGGGTTAGAAATTTCACGTCTACACCGACCACCAGAGCTTGAAGCACCTCCTCGAGCAGCGGGTGACCACACCGGATCAGCATAAGTGGGTGTCGAAGCTGCTAGGCTACGACTATGAGATCCATTATCGCCCCGGGCCCACTAATGTGGTGGCGGATGGGTTATCGAGGAGACCGGGCAGCGAGGTTCTCGCTGCAGTGTCAGGGCCAGTTTCGCAGTTTTGGGATGAGTTACGGGCGTCCATGGAGACCAACCAGTATTTACAGGATTGTCGGGAAATCGCAGTGAGCGACAACCCGGGGCATTATCTGTTTCAAAAGGGATTGGTGACTTTCAAGGGTCGAGTGGTTCTTCCCCCCGGCTCGAACCTGGTCACCTCAGTACTACAGGAGTTCCATGACTCTCCCTTGGGAGGTCATTCAGGCGCTGAGAGGACACTTCGCCGGATTAGAGGCTATTTTTACTGGCCCCGAATGGCACAGGCTGTGAAGGCCTATGTGGAGTCATGCGACACGTGCTAGAGAGTGAAGTTGTCTCACCTGCGACCTGCCGGGCTTCTTCAGCCGATGCTAGTGCCGGAACGGGTATGGGAGGACATTAGCATGGATTCATCGTGGGATTACCTCCCTCTGGTGGGAAGACGGTGTTGTTCGTGGTAGTGGATCGGCTCACTAAGTATGCTCATTTTATGCCGTTGGCGCATCCGTACACTGCGAAGTCTGTGGCCGAGCAGTTTGTATTGGGAGTGGTGAGACATCATGGATTTCCTAGGTCTATTGTCAGTGATCGCGACCCAATTTTCTTGAGCAGGTTTTGGCAGGAGGTCTTTTCGATGGCACGAACGGTTTTACGCATGAGCTCGGCCTACCATCCTCAGACCGATGGACAGACGGAGATCGTTAACAAGCACCTGGAGCAGTATCTGAGGTGCTTTGCCCATCAGCAGCCGAAGCAGTGGTTGGCCATGCTTCCTTGGGCGGAATTGTGGTATAACACCACGTTTCATCGGTCCATCAAAATGACCCGGTTCGAGGCTTTATATGGGAGACCGCCCCCGGCATTGGTGCAGTACAGAGGCGGGTCGAGTTCGGTTGACGCGGTGGACAGGTGGTTGGGCGCGCGAGACGAGGCTTTGGAGCAGTTAAGAACCAATTTGGCTGCGCCGAACAACCGGATGAAGCAGGCTGAGGATGCAGGGCGGCGGGATGAGGAGTTTGAGGTGGGTGACTGGGTACTGTTGAGGCTGCATCACTACCGGCAGTCCTCGATTTTCCGGCGGGCATACCAGAAGCTCGCGACTAGGTTCTTTGGCCCGTATGAGATCGTCCACAAGGTCAGCCCGGTGGCTTATCGGCTGCAGCTGCCTGCAGGTTCGCGCATACACCCGGTGTTCCACATTTCCTTGCTGAAAAGGAAATGCCTTTCCAGTAGCGTTTCATTTTGGTGTATACGGTGGCAGAGATGCCTTTCCAGTTTGGGGAATTTGTTGTATTGAGAATTTGAATGGTTGAAGTGAATAGTGAGAAAATGGGGATGTGGAGGATTCCCTGGCGAGGATCGGGAAGGGAGAGGAAGCACCACCTGAACTTCAGCAATGTGCCACTTGGAAACATGCATGGAATCAATGTGTCCGCCGCTACTGTGATGTGATCATACACATGTAGAGGCCCATAATTTCTTCTGTTCGGCCCAAAAGTTCTGGATCCAGCCTTTACCTTTTTGTTCAGCTCGGTCCAAATGTTAAAAAGGTTGTTGGAATTGCAAAGCTTAGCAAATAGCAACGAGATGGTTTGAGTCACTTTGCCTCAAAGTTGTCAACCCGCGGGTCGACCCGGATTAACCCGGACCCGACCAAAAAAATGGGCCATACCAACCCATTTTCATGTCACCTGGAAATAGTCAAACCCGGAGAAACCCGGTCAAACTTGGGTTGGCCCGGTCGGTTAGCCCGTTGGAGCGGGTCAGCGGGTTGCTCTTCCTGAGCCCCGTTGGATGTTGCGTCGCCGTTTCTGCGGACTGCGCGGAGAGCAAACGAGGAGGGGAAGCAGCGCCGTTCTGCTTGGTGTTGGCCTGCTGGTCGTCTGGAAACCAAAACCCTACAAACATACATAGCATTCCATTTCTAGCAGCGCAGCCTAGGGGTGGGCAACGGGAAACGGGTATTTGGGTATACCCGTACCCGTCCCGTTTTTTAAGGTTACGGGTACCCATATTACCCGTAATATTATAAACGGATGGGACTTGGGATGGTACATTCCTAATATGGGTACCCACGGGTTATCCGCGAATACCCGTTTGAGTAATATGGGTACCCGTTGTACCCATTCAAATTACAAAGCCTCTAATCACAAAACCCCCAACTTGCTAAAGCTCAAATCAAGGTGACAGTTAATCTTCTATAATGCATGCACACGGCTGGATAGTGATTGATTAGTTGCAATAACTTTTTATTGTAATTATTCTTCTTTGCAGGACAGCAGCAGGTGAAGGACAGCAACCTGCAGAAGGGAGAATGGCTACAGCAGCCATTCCAAACTTTTGCTATGCTAATACATGTTTTCTTTGTGGAATGTATTAGAATAGTTGCCTACTCCGAACTTTTGCTCCCACCGTCATTTCTCTTCTAATACATGTTTATGTAGTGGGTTTGGGATGTAATTGTCTTTAGCTAAAACGTCATATGGTTTTAGGGACATGTTTTGAAATGAATGCTTGTGTATATAGAGATTGAATTTATGTTTTTTTGATCATATCGTGTTCTTATTATTCCCCGCAAGAGCATGTTATTATAAGGATATGTAATGTGATGTCATTTAAACTTTGGGTATTTATGGGTAGTATGGGTACCCGTTATCCGTCCCGTACGGGTAATGGGTACCCGTTTCCCGTATGGGTTGGACTTTGGTCTCCAAATGGGACTGGGTACCCGTTTAAAACGGGACGGGTATCCCGTCCCGTCCCGTTGCCCACCCCTAGCGCAGCCATCTCCCTCTCCCACAGCCGATCGATATCGCCACGCCAGGGTTCTTCGGCGGCGCGCTCCGGGTCGCCGGCGGAGAGAATCATCTTCGCAGGTCGGCCGCCACCGTTCCGTCTCCCCTCCCTTCAGCTCGGTCGCCTCTGATCGCCGCCTCTGCTCGGCCTCCGCCTCGACCGCCTGTGCCTCCACCCTTCTCATTGTCGGTCACCAATTCCTTCGCCGGCGGAGACCATCTTCTCATTGTCTTTTCTTTTCCATTATTTGCGACCCGAGCATCTCCATTACCTTTAGTTCCCTGAGTCATAGTCATTTGGTAAGGGTTTGGGACTTGGTTCCAATAAATGGAACGAAAGATATATGTGATGTTTTGTGAATGATATAAGTGTTGTTGAATTTTTACTATGTTGAATTTAAGTTGATGTTATTTAAGTGTATTGGAGTTGAAGTAGTGTTGCATTTTTTTTTATGTTGGATTCAGGATAAGTATAATATAATTACTTTTGCTATATTTTCGGGCTAAAACGGGTGACCCATTGACCCATGACCCAGTAGCTCATCCGGGTCCGGGTCGACCCGCGGTTTGACAACCTTGCTTTGCCTTGCACTTTTGGCTCTTGCAGCTTGCAACCTTCGGTCATGAATTGCAAGTGTAACCCATTAATTATTTTTTTAGGGTAATGACTGGTATACTTCCGGAATAGTATATTCCACGTGATCTAGTCGTTAGATATATTTGGATGAGCTCTAACCAATCTCAATGGTCGATTTTATTTTTCTATTAAATTGAACTTTGGGTTTGGGTTTAGAGAATTGGGGGCTGGAGTTTATCTATTAGAAGTTAGAGTATAATATCATACTCAAAATTCGATTTAATTCATTGTCTAGATAAAGATATTTCACTAGAAGTACTTGGAGTATAGTATACTCCAGGAGTACACCAGTCTGACCCCCTTTTTTGTTAGATAATTTGATCAAATTGATTGGTTTATCAACAAAAAATTTAGATAGCTCGAATCAATTTATTTTTAGTCAATTTCAATTGTTTGGAATATGGTAGGTAATAAATTATCGAAAAAAATATGGTTGCTAATTTTTCAATCACACCATTAGTACGATACAGTTTATCAAACACTACTTTTCTTCGTAGTGTTAACAAACACCAAAAAGCCGCCTGAGTTCTATCTTTCACTCATTTTGTTCAGTAGTAAGTTTACCCCGTCTGTTCAATGATTATGAAGCGTACACTCTCAATTCAATGTACATAAATCAGCATTATCAACACGTTCTCACAAACATTTTTATGAGCACCTGAGTTAATTCCAGAAGCTAAAGAAGGTTGTAGTATTGCCCACTGCAGCTGCTATCCTTTAACCGGCAATCTGAGCAGGACAGTGGCAATGGCTAAGGTCTGAAGGAATTATCCCCAAAACTTCCTTTTCTCCCCCAAACACAGGAAGCGGCAAAAGAAAAACGTTTCGAATTTTCTTCCTGCACCACGTGTCATCTCCAATCCATGCAGCAGACGCCACTCAGCTCCATCCGCCATGGTTTCCCTTCCCCCTTTCCCCTCCCAATTCCCACAAAGAACTCGCCTCTCTCTCTCTCTAGTCTTATCCACAAACCCATTATAATCCCCTTCCACCCGGCCGGCTCTCCATCATCCTTCTCAGGAATTCCCTCTTGCAATCTGGTAATAAAAGCTAGCTGAGACAATTTGATCACTACTACTAATGGATCTGATTCACAAGTTCCTGAACTTGGTAGCTCCCCCATTCACCTTCTTCTCCCTCTGCTTCCTCCTCCCGCCCTACTACCTCTACAAGGCCTGCGCCACCGCGCTGCGCTACCTCACCAGCGAGGACGTCTCCGGCAAGGTCGTCCTCATCACCGGCGCCTCCTCCGGCATCGGCGAAGTAAGTTCTAATTGAAATCCGTCCCATCACCTTGCTTTCCTTTTTGTGCTATGATTAAATTTCTGTTTTTTTTTTCCTTGTTTTTACCCGCAGCACCTGGCTTACGAGTACGCGAGCAGGGGCGCGTGCCTGTCACTCGTCGCCCGCAGAGAAGTCGGCCTGCGAGATGTAGCCGAGGTCGCTCTTGAATTGGGATCTCCGAAAGTCATCTCCATCGTTGCAGATGTCCAGAACGTCGACGACTGCAGGCGAATCGTCGACGAAACCGTTAACCAATTCGGCGGAAGATGTAATTTGGATTAATCTAAGTGTCAAACATGCTCAATTCCCTCTCTCTGTTTTCATGTCTTTAACATTCAATTGTTTCGTTTTGTTTCTGGGCATGGAAATTTGCTAGTGGATCACTTGGTGAACAATGCTGGGATCTCTTCGGTGTGCAACTTCGAAGATGTCGCCGATATCACCAGCTTCAGAACCATCATGGTAATTAGTTGCACAAAATCACATTTTTCATCAGCTTTCAAACTGAGATTCAGTCCCCAACTGTTTTCGTTCTGCAGGACACCAACTTCTGGGGATCGGTTTACATGACCCAATTCGCCATACCGCACCTGGCCAGATCCTACGGCAAGATCATCGCCATGGCGTCCGCTGCTTCGTGGCTGCCCGAGGCAAAGATGAGCTTCTACAATGTGAGTCTGTGTGTTCATAGCCCCCACCCCATTTCGAAACTTTGTTTCCCATCCGAATTTAACTGCAAACTTCAATTAACTACTCACAGGCGAGCAAAGCAGCCGTGGTGTCCTTCTTCGAGACGCTGAGGGTGGAGCTAGCTCACGCCGTGTCGGTCCTGATCGTCACTCCGGGGTACATCGAATCGGAGCTGACGAAGGGCAAATTCATGACTAGTGAGGGCAGGATGGAAGTGGATCAGGAATTGAGGGATGTCAAAGTGGGTGCCGTGCCCGTGGCGTCGGTCAGGTCGACGGCGAGCGCGATCGTGAAGAGCGCTTGCAGAGGGGACAAGTACTTGACGGTTCCAGCCTGGTACAGGACCACTTGGTTGTGGAAGATTTTCTGCCCCGACGCCGTCGAGCTGGCCTACCGCTTGTTCTTCACCAGCCCGCCGGGCGGGCCGGAGACTGCTGCGCCGAGCAAGAGGGTGCTGGAAATGACTGGCGCGCAGAGGTTGCTTTACCCTGAGAGCATTCAGAACCCCAACATCAAAAGAGAGTAGAGGAATTAGGCACTCCTTCGCACTTTCGCCTTTGTATCTATATCCAATGTCGATGTAGTGTTTATAAACTTGGGATTTCACCCAAATTGTGAAATCGAAATAATAAAAAGCCGGGAGGTTTGTTAGTTTGTTCTGTCCGCCATGGATAATTTCGTCCTGCTTTCCGGAGCGGAGTGGGGTTATTTATCCGCTGATCAGTTAATGGTGTTGCTCACTCTGAACAGGAAAATGGCGGAAACAGAGAGATGGGAAGAAGAGAGTGATGGGTCTGTCTGTCTGGGTTGGACGGAGAAAGAATGGAACTTGGGTTAATTGTGTCTGTCTGTAACAGTCTTTCCAATTTGATTGATCGTCAGAGTTCGATACGTTGAGTGAAGGATTGGGATTTTAAGTGTTTGGGTGGAGTATAATTCATTCTAGTTGGTCGGAAGAGCCGCCGCCGGCGGCTGCTCTGCCACCGTTGGAGAGAAGGGATGGACGGACGGCGCCATGTTATTATTGTTGTTGTTATTAACTTAATATTAAAAAAAAAATTGGGTTCGAGGTAAATAAGAAAGAGCCGCCTCCCTCGCAACTCTCCTCGCTGCAACAAACACGCAAACACAGATCTCACTCTCTCTCCCTCTCTCTCTTCTGTGCGTCCAAGTTTTCTTTCTCAATTCTTTCCGTCCTGTGGATGGGAATGGTAATGGCAATATTGGGATGGCCATTATCGATGGTCGATTGATTTTGGAGTATAGCAGATTGCGATGCCCTTTCCTCGAGCTTAAGCTTTTTCGCGCTCTTCTTCCGTTTTGGGTTTTCATCGGACGCGCTCTCTCTCTCTCTCGGCAAGTTTTGCTTAGCTTTTGGATCCACCGTCTGATCTCCGACTGCAACATTTTCCCCCGAACCTCCGGTTGCCTTCTTTATTCCCTCTCCTCTGCTAACTAAGCAAGCAGCTATCACTGTCTCTGGGACTGGGTTTCTCCTCGCTCACTCCCGTTGCTGCTGGCCGCATTTGAAGCTAGCAAACTGGGTCAACCATGGCGATGATAAGCAAGACCCTCGTGTTCACGTACATCTACCTTCTGATTTACATCATCCTCTCCTCCGGCGTCATCCTATACAACAAGGTATATACGACGAACTCACTCCCTTACTGCTGCTGCTGCTGCTTGCTGCCTGCCTCACCCTTCCTCTCATTTTTGCTTCTGCAGTGGGTTCTCTCACCCAAGTATTTCAACTTCCCCTTCCCCATCACGCTCACTATGATTCACATGGCATTCTCCGGCATCGTCTCCTTCTTCCTCGTCCGCGTTTTCAAGGTCCGCCCACTGTGCTAATTACTGTCAACTTAAATTTCTGCAATCTCACCTTGTAGCACCCCATTTGATAGGAGAACCCTCTATGCCTTGTTCTTGCCTGATCCTGTTTGTTATTACCATTACCTGATTACGGCCTTGAGAGAGAAAATAAGAAGGAAACACCAACCCATCTGAATGCTACAGAATTCCCAAGCATACACTCAACTCAATCTTTCCATGTTCACCGAAATGACAAAATAGCTTTCTAGTGCTCTTGGATCCCCCTAGTTGCTGAATTTGTTTTTCTTGATTATTACTGTATCTCTTGCCTTCCGCCTCATTTTAGTTTCGACTGCGTGCAGGTTGTGTCTCCTGTCAAAATGACCTTCGAAATGTATGCATATCTTCTACCATTCGTCCTTATATTGAGAACCGCCCTCCTCTCATTTCCAGTGTTAACTTCGCTTTCCCCTGATGTTGCAGATATGCCACTTGTGTCATACCCATAAGCGCCTTCTTCGCTGCAAGTCTTTGGTAAGAGATTAAATGTAATTGCTTTGCCTATTCTATCACTTGAAACCAGTACCATTTCATTCGTTGAATTCTACAAGCTTCTGCATTGTCTGAGCATTGCACTACATTATGTAACATTTATAACTTGCTTACTATTTGCTGTGGTTAATTGGCGAAGTAGTGATGTAATGTAGGCAAAACAAACAGTCATTTCATGCCTTGCATTGCATTGCATGAATCACTAGGTTGTATTAGTACATTGTCACAGGCTCAGTACCCATTTTTTTAGTTCTTGTTTTTGTTTGCGATACCTGTCCCCCATATTCAGCAAAACTGCACATACAGAATCTTATTTGTTTCCGTGCTTAAACACTCTGTTCGTCAAATATAAGTCCCTCATTCTTATGATTAACTTACCATTTCCGTAGTTGAGATGCCATTGAGTATTGACTAATTCATGTATGCAGGTTTGGTAACACTGCATATTTATATATTTCAGTGGCCTTCATCCAGATGCTTAAGGCTTTAAGTAAGTGGAGTTAAGAAGATGTGCAACTTTATTATCTGTCAAATATTTGTTACGTTTGATTTAATCTTCTACCTGTTCATCCTTTGCACAATTTCCTTTGCAGTGCCAGTGGCAACTTTTATCATGGCAGTATTGTGTGGCACTGACAAAGCAAGGTGTGACGTGTTCTTAAACATGTTGGTGGTCAGTGTTGGAGTTGTCGTTTCCTCGTACGGGGAAATCCATTTTAATGTAGTTGGCACAGTTTACCAGGTTACTGGCATCTTTGCAGAAGCACTTAGGCTGGTGTTAACTCAAGTTCTTCTACAGAAGAAGGGCTTGACCCTGAATCCTATCACCAGCTTATATTACATAGCTCCATGCAGGTAGTTCTTATGATGCTTGGATCTGGCTTCCCCCATGTGGCATTTTTATCTGATTTTGAACTCTTTCTTTTGAGTGACTTATCTTAAGATTAATTTACTTTCGAGTTATTGGTTTTCAAATGCATTCTTCCTTACGTGTCCATGCGATCAGTGTTTTGGCTTTATGGTCATTCCTTTAGCGAGTTTTTGTCTCATTGATTCTATGTATTCTCTGGAACTCTCTGATTTTCACTATCATCTACGAACGGAATTAAGAGTTCTGCATGTTCGAGTTGGATTAATGGAGAAGAAGCTTATTACTTTTTAATGTACTCAAATTTGTGTTATTGCTTGAAGCACAAGGTGAAAACCAGCCGCAGATGCACCCGTTTTCTTATGTCTCATAAACAATCACCGTAAATTATATCCAGATGCTTTCCTGGATTATTAAGATGTTATATTACGAACTTGTATCCCACAGTCGTATCTGCTCACTCACGTCACTCTATTATGTTACATGCAGTTTTGTGTTTCTGTTTGTACCTTGGTATCTACTGGAGAAACCAGGAATGGAAGTCTCACAGATTCAGTTCAATTTCTGGATTTTCTTTTCTAATGCACTCTGTGCATTAGCCTTGAACTTCTCCATATTCTTGGTGATTGGAAGAACTGGGGCAGTCACCATCAGGGTTGCTGGTGTGCTTAAAGACTGGATACTGATAGCCCTTTCAACCGTCATATTTCCCGAGTCTACTATAACTGGCATGAACATAATTGGTTATGCAATTGGTATGTATTCTGTATTCCTAATGGCTATCTTTGAGGAATTCTAATGTGTCCCTCTTGTTAGCACTTGTTTTCCGGAAGCTTACTATGTAATTTGATTTCCTCTCGTGCAGCACTTTGTGGTGTCGTAATGTACAACTACTTAAAGGTCAGAGATGTCCGCGCATCATCGCAGCTCCCTGAAGCTGCTCCTGAAAGAATGGTGAAGGTTTGTAGTTGAGCTTTATTGACCCCGATTTTTTCTATTAACCTCAATGATCTCACTAGGGTGGTTAACCGGCCAAACCGAAACCTCGAGAACCAAAACCTGTTATGGAGTAGCTACAATCAAAACTATTGACCAATGGGCTAAAACCAATAAATCATCCTAATGGTTTTCCAAAAACAGGAAAACCAACTCTAATTTATTGACTGGTTACGATCTTTTCATGTTTATTGTTCCTGTTTTTCACGGATTATAGAAGCGTTCTTGGTGACTTTACATTTTCTGTTTATATTGTGGATTTGGCTTACGAAACTTCTACTGTAAAATCGAAAATCATTCAGACTATCTAAACTGGTTAAGCACCTGTAATTCAATCGTAGTCTTTTCCTCAGCACTCATCTAACTTGCTGTTCGTTGATGGTGTTTGCATGGTCAACAGGATTGGAAACTGGACAAGAAGGCATCCGATATATATGTGCCTAATAATGGCAGTGATGGCAGTACAGCAAACATCTTATCGTCCTCCGATGCTGCAGATGAGGAAGCACAACCTCTGGTTGCATCCTCGAGATTGTCTCATGTTGGGCGTACACAGGCTAGTAACCACGGTGGATGATCACTTGCTGCTGTGGAATGTAAATCCGAAATTGCAGAAGCAGGAGGGCGGGAGAATGCTCAAGTTTGCTAGTGTGAGGTGCACTGTGCTATGTCAGTTGCTGTTTCTCATCTCTCTCGAATTCTGCTTGGTTCGATTTTGTTCTTCTTTGAGGCTATAGTTTGTGCTCTTGTTTTGTCTGGCTTTTTTAGGCGCATTGAGCAGTAATAGGGAGTTGTAGTAGCAGCAGTCTTTCGTAGTTTTCCTTTTCTTGTGTACGTTGGCCATCGATTATAAATCTATTGAAATTTGTAACTACTGACTGCACTTCCGCCATTGCCACACGTTTACATAGATACGTCATCAACCTGAGGCGCCATCTGCGCCAATGAGTTAGCATTTAGCAACAGCGCAACACCTTACACAATTAAGGCATTGTGGATGAATGTATTATGAAAAGAACAGAAGAGATCATAAAGTCCACTGGCAATTGACCTCAAGCAATATGCTCCAAATCTCACTAGTACATACTACATAGCATACACGGGAACTTGTTAGATGAAGCACCCATGCGGCCATGCCATACTGTGTTTTATCGCCTCGTGCATTGTAGGTGTTCGATTGAGTGATTACAATAGCAAAGAAAAAGTATAGTGATTACAATAGCAAAGAAAAAGTATGGAGCAGACCGAAAAGCCATAGGATAGGTCTTGTGTAGTTCATCCAAAACTAATCAACACTCAAGAAGCAATCTGAAATAGAGCCATCCCTCCCATCAACCTCGCTAATTAATTACATCTTAACCTAATTACACAAGAATAATTGCAGAAACAAAGTTAGACAATAAAAGAGGAAGAGGAGCCCTTAAGTACAACACAAATGAAAAAACTATGATCCCCCATCCAAACCCCAACTAGCTCCATATTCCAGCTCAGGTTAGAATATGAAAGCCTAACATCAACCTCCTTTCAGTTTCATACAGCTCCAAGGGACTGCTTCATCAGCTCGAAACTCCGTTTCCGCTCGACCCTCATCTAACAAAACATAAACACCTAGCCCCTTGGTTTTCGAAGACACAATGACATGAATCAAATAATGACGGTGATGCATATGTGGCCATCAGTTTTGGTTTCCCGTTCTGCACTGCACCAAGTTCTCTTCAACCTAGAAGGATCACTTGCATACACAACTTGTTGGCTACCCTTCTTGTTAATGCTCATCTTGTACTTTCAAAGACACGAGCTCGCTTTCTTGCCCTGTACTCCTCGATTTTGCACTGTTTGCAAGCAACCACCTTTGTAGCCGTTCAGGGCAGAACCTGGCAAATATTTCAGGCATCCCAGCCATCTTATGTGGTATTCACACAATTGATAATTTAGGAGCAAAGCAAACAAGAAAACAAATAACTGAACCATCTAGCCTGTTAATGCTAGAGTATAATTTGGATATATGATCTAATCTCAAGGCAACATGTTTACAAAATCTCCAACTGCAAATGGAATTGTATCAGAATTCTAACACAGGCTATTTCGTGGAAGCATGACCGCAGGGTTTTCCAAGGCAAGAACTAGAAGGAAACAAGCCCAAGACCCAAATCTCCCTAATAATTATACTTCTTCACACCAACACAGCAGTTTAGGGTAAAAATTCAGCAGCAACCGTAAAACATTCACTAAAGGGTCTCTAGGTAAATTTAAGACCATACCATTAAGGGACTGTCCTTAAGGTCCATCAAGCATAAGATGTTTCATTAAAGACAATTGATATTGGAAAGTAAATCTCATGGCAATCAAATTAATGGACATGACTAAGTTATTTCTTACAGATCCAATCTTTCAGATATTGCCCGCCGCACCGATGAATTAAGGCCATATGCTATCGAGTTGAAGAGCCCCTATAAGAACAGAAGTAATTAACACCTCCTCTGTGAAATTGGCACCCCGGTCAATCATGAAATGCATCCAACATGCTAATGAAAACTAAAACTCAATATGACAGGGCAGCATACTGCAAACACCCAAAAGTGAAAAGGAAAAGAATCAGCATAGGTAATGAGAGTATCAACATGTTTAAGAAAACAAGCATCAATTGTTACAGGCCAGAAATATAGGCAGAGCCAACCAAACCCTACAAATGGAAGTTTTCACCCTGGTATTCTCATGGCTAATTAAGATACAGTCAACTGTCATTGAACTCACCTGCATTTCACTATGGCCAATATTGCAGGTTTTTAGAAGTTGTTTATATGATAAATAGTTAAATTGGCCTGCTCACTATCAGCTAGCATTCCCACAGTTACGAGCAAAGATGCCTCAAAAGCAGAACCCAGAAGAATAATGGTAGCGAGAATTACCATAAGGGCAGCTGTACCCACATGAAGTACCGAGAGCCAAAAGATTTTATGGCCTGGTTCGATAAGATCGTGGATGACATTTAACGTGCCAAACGTCCATGAGCCTATTAGGATAAGCGGATAGTATCCCCACCTATTCAGAGCCTACAAGACAAATAGAAAACATCAGGAGCAACTGATTGAATGTTATCAAATAGCAGAAACATGTAGAGCTTGTAAATGATGAATTGGACAAGGAAACTCCCAAAGGATCGAGAAAAGGGCCTATCGTTAGACTAACGCTGCAGAAGGAGTATAAGAAACATCAACATTGGAAAGTAACTCACCTTCATGTCCGGTCTTCCATCAGACGCACGGTCTGACATGCCCTCTGCCATCTGATATTCAGAGAAAAGCATTGCTGGCTATCATAATATCCATATGAACAAACCCATTGACAAGTGAAAGATTGGAAGTTGATGCCTACACGAGTTGCATTGTTCAGCATCCGGATGACTTGGAAATATGTAAACCCGTTGTAAAGAATGGCACCCCAAAGGGGGACATAAAATGTTATGAAATGATACGCCTGCAGAAACAGATAACACAAATAAGAATAGTTGATGGAGATGGGCAAACTTTTAGTTACTGATATACAAACTATGATTGGGATGTAGACTTTCAAACTTTAAACTCGTACAATCATTTTGGTTTAAAAGAAGTCATGGATCAAGATCATCGACACTGCAATACTACGAAGCAGGTTGGGTTCACCAAACAACATATCCCGTACATTTGGCAGAAAAGCATGAACGAAAGAGAGGAAGACAATGCCGCGAGCTTGCCTTTTTTGTTCTTCCAGTTTGTGATGAACACCATGCGCCGCCTAAGTGTCTATGATCATTACCCATGGAGCGTATGACAGTCATAACCAACGAGGTACCTGTAAGTGGAAATGAAACTCTCAGACAATGTTGCATAGTGAAAATAACTGGCTGGAGGCATAGCATGGGCAAAGCACAAAAGAGGTTCGAGATGGTGGGGAAGGTTAGAGCGGAATGGGGAACAAAGGAGGGAAAGAAGAAATGCCAAGCACACTAGTTGACAAAAGCAAGGAGCCAGACTATGTTAGGGAGACCGATAAGCGGATTGTTGAGGGTGAGGATGGAAATCGTTCTTACCCCAAACGTACAAATGAAACATGGCCTCCATGTCTTCAACATCAGTTTTGTGCCTGACAACAGTGCGATGCAGGGTGAAAGCAATGGTGGTAGTCCAGAGGAAAGATGCGATGCAGAAGAAATGGGTGCTATAGCCCTGAGCGTAGCAGAAGAATCCTGTCGAGGGATCTCTGCATTACGAAGGAAATTGAAGTCCCCACAAATGCTATTTGAATCAGGCTGCAAGTAAAGGGCATGAGGAGGAACTCACCCAACTATGCTGAAGAAGCTGCACAGCATGTCCTGCGGGTTGGATGGAGCACAAAAGTTCAGTAGTTAGTCGTTGGAATCGCCGTGGAGAAGAAAGACTAGTGTGAGATTGATCGATCTCCCCATCTCCATAAAAAGACTAAGAGCGTGCGAGCGAGAGAGCATACCGAGATTGCGAGGTAGAAGACGAGCTTGAAGGAGAACTTTCGAAGGTCTCTGAAAAGGAGGTAGCAGAGGACAATGAAGCTGGAACCTAGGAATGACAGAGAAGATGCTCCTGCATTGACGGTCCTCAGAATTTGACGATCGGAAGCAGTTAGGTTTCCGGAACTGAGAGCTACAGTCCCCATCTCCAGTTTTTCGCGATGGGTCTGCGTTCTGAATCCACGGAGCAAACAACCGACGACGGACAGAAGGACCGCAAGCGTAAATGGTCCCGACTATAGAATAATTTAGGTCTGAACCATATGGTATCAATAACCGTGACTTTGGCCGAGTGGTTAAGGCGCTTGCCTGCTAAGTAAGTGGGGTTTCCCCGCGTGAGTTCGAATCTCACAGGTCACGCATGTATTTTTTGCGTTACAATTGAGCAATAGTCTTTCGTCATTAATACTGAGCTTTTGTCCTTTTTTCTAGTAATGAAAGTAATGCAGTAATGAAAATACAATTGAGCAATTGTCTTTCGTCATTAATATGTTTTTTTTGCGTTATAGGCTTATAGCTGAGCTTTTGTCCTTTTTTCTAGTAATGAAAGTAATGCAGTAATGAAAATGGTGAGGTCTGGGCTGGGTATCTCGATATTTTACTCATTTCGTGACAGGTTGGATAATTTATCATTGGGTGCAGATCAGAGCAGGTCGACTCAATGAGTATGTAATTTATATGAAAAATATTAAAGCTATTTGTTAATATTTGTATTTCATTAAAAGATAAAAAAACAAACCATAATATGATAAAATTAGTTAAATCACTGGAAATTTTGAGAAATTCGAACTCACGTGGGGAAACCCCACTTACTTAGCAGGCAAGCGCCTTAACCACTCGGCCAAGCTCAAAGGGTTGAACAAATCTGAATACTCAGAAATATCAACAAGGGCAAGAGAAGCTGAGGCACAATTGGAGCTGCTGCAAAATAGTGTGTTGTGTGACCCTTCTACAGCAAATTCACTAGAAGTTATTGAGCAGGAGAAAGAGTGTCAAGAGTTGCAAAGTGTTGAGGAGTTATTCTATAAACAAAAGTCTAGGGTTCAATGGATAACGCAAGGGGATGCCAATACTGGTTTCTTTCATGATGTGTTTAAAACAAGAAATCACAGGCAGACCATTCAGAGGTTGGTTTCTGATGCTGGAGAGGTCTTAACTGATGTAAAGGGGGATGAGTAACTGGTAGTGGAATTCTATAAAGGCCTATTAGGAGTAGCTGATCCTAATGTTCAGCAACAACCTATAGAGTTTTTTGAGAATTTGCTATGTCATAAGCTAACATCTGAGGATGCTGCCATTCTGAATTCTTCTGTAACTCGTGAAGAGATCAAGCAGGTGTTCTTTAATATGGGAAGAGATAAAGCCACTGGACCTGATGGCTACGTTGCTGAGTTCTTCAAGCTAGATTGGGCTATTGTGGGGGTTGACGTGGAGAACACTGCTCTAGATTTCTTTAATTCAAGGAGAATGCCTAGACAGGTAAACTCTACAGTCTTATCACTCATTCCTAAGATCCCCATAGTTGAAAAGATGAAGGACTTTCATCCTATTTATGGTGCAACGTAATATACAAAGGAATTTCTAAGTTGCTATCTCATAGATTATCCTTGATTCTGCCAAAACTAATCAGTAAAAGCCAATCCGCTTTTGTCAATGGTCTTTTAATAAGTGACAACATCTTAATGGCAACAGAATTAGTAAAAGACTATCATAAGAGCAGAATCTCCCCAAGATGTGCTCTTAAGATAGATTTAATGAAAGCATTTGACTTAATGAATTGGTGTTTCATGTTTAAAGTGATGATTGCTATGTGTATGCCTACTAGATTTGTGAAGTTGATTGAGGCGTGTGTAACTTCTCCTATGTTGAGTGTCTCCTTCAATGGAGGCTTGTGTGGGTACTTTGCAGCTGCTAAGGGTTTGAGACAGGGGAATCCGCTTTCCTCCTATCTTTTTACCATAGCAATTGAAATCTTCTCTTGTCTGTTAAAGAGGGCAGTTGACAGTGGGGTAATTCCGTTTCATCCACGTTGTAAGAGTCTTGGTATTTCACATCTTTGTTTTGCAGACAATTTGTTAGTTTTTTTCTAATGGATCGTCTCAAGCAATTACTGGAATTAAACAGTTGTTGGATCAGGGCTTTCCCAGGATGATAAGCAAGCTATTTCTCAGCAGACTGGGTTTCCATTAGGGGATCTTCCAGTTCACTATTTGGGCGTACCTCTCCTTTCTGGAAAACTTACATCTATCGATTGTGAGTATCTTGTGGAGAGGATCATTAAGAGGATCCAGACCTGGCAGGCTCGATCTTTAAGCTATGCTGGGAAGCTGCAATTGATAGATTTAGTGATTACAAGTGTATTCCAGTATTGGATGTCGATTTTCTTGCTTCCTCTAAAGGTGCTTAAGATGATTGAGAATGCTTGTAACAGATTCTTGTGGAGTGTGGATGGTGACAGAAGAAAGAAAGCTCCTGTTGCTTGGTCACAGGTAGCTTTGCCAAAAAAAAGAGGGTGGCTTAGGCATTCGGGATTTTAAAAACTGGAACAGAGCATGTGTGATCAGGCACTTATGGAATTTATTGGCAGAGGCTGGTTCTTTATGGGTTGCTTGGTGTCATGTGTTTTAATTATTATTATTTAATTGAGTCTATCAATTGTTAATTAGAATTAGAATTAAGGGTTATGGGTAGACGTGGGATAGTGGGATAGTTGTTAGCTAGAATTACGGAAGGAATAACTAGTGATAGGTCTTTTACGTTAGATTAGAGGGGATTGGGTTTACTTCTGTATTTAAGGTACCAGATAGATAGAAATAGGACATCAATGAAGTATAATCAAAAAAGGGTTTTACACACCTACGGGTTAATTTGGGAGGTTGGCTTTCCTCGAAAAAGCTTTGGGGTTCTGTTCTCGCCATTAAGAAGAGCACTTCTCTTCTTCTCAATCTATCTATCTTCCTCGTTTCTTATTCTTCCTATTCCAATCTTTCTCCTAAATTCTATTTGCCGAAAAGGGCACGTAACATTTGGTATCAGAGCCGGCCGATCCTACGATAATGGAGGTTCGCGCAAAATCACTTGATTCTATGATTGAGGCGATCGTGCAAGAGAACGACATGTTGAGGCAGGTGATGCGGGAAGGTTTTGCTACTCTAAATGAGAGGTTCGATCGATTGCTAGCATTGGGGGAGAAGAAGGAATCCAACATTCAACTCGTCAATTGCGCCAACGGGGTAGGAGGCGGCAACCAACTCAAGGCCAAAATCAACGACCCCCATCTCAAGGAAGACGTCGATGATAGCATCGAAAGTCAAAAGCTGCTTGTGCCAACGGTTCTTCATTGACATAACACTACACCAAAATTGCCGGAATGTGAAGCCCCTTCTATTGCGGCACTCAAGCTGATATCAAGAGCGAGTTTGACTATGCATGAGACGTCCATGGAAATTGACTTCCGGAAGACTATAGTGGCCAACATTAGGCCAGCAAGCCAATTCAACTCCGAAAATGTCCACGAGCTGACTCCTTCCTCGTACAAGCTTCCCAACAACTTATCATGTGTTACGAAACCTTGGGATTTAAGGGCAAAGTGCTTGGGTAATTTTAACAACACTTGGTATTATTTGACGGCGGTTCCTTTAATTGCAGAAGCAAAATTTGGCAATGGGAGCTTAGCATCTCAACTATGGTGGCTCATGCTCTCTGGAGATCCAGGTTGAAGAAGGCTACTAAAGTTACGTTTATGGCTGATTCTTGTGGCCGAGAATCTTTCGAAGGGGGATGGAATGTCATGTGCTTTAATTATTACTATTATTTAATTGAGTCTATCAATTGTTAATTAGAATTAGGATTAAGGGTTATGGGTAGATGTGGGATAGTGGGATAGTTGTTAGCTAGAATTAAGGAAGGAATAATTAGTGTTAGGTCTTTTACGTTGGATTAGAGGGGATTGGGTTTACTTCTGTATTTAAGGTACCAGATAGATAGAAATAGGGCATCAATCAAGTATAATCAAAAAAGGGTTTTACACACCTACGTGTTAATTTTGGGAGGTTGTCTTTCCTCGAAAAAGCTTTGGGGTTCTGTTCTCGTCATTAAGGAGAGCACTTCTCTTCTTCTCAATCTATCTATCTTCCTCCATTCTTATTCTTCCTATTCCAATCTTTCTCCTAAATTCTATTTGCCGAAAAGGGCACGTAACACTTGGATGAACAAATATAGGATAAAAGGGAGGGATCTATTGGTGGAAGATCCTTAAGTGTCTTAAGCTTGGCACAATAGCATATTGCAGGGGTTGGTGAGTTTTTGGAGTGGGATGACTGCTGCTGGGCAAAGTATTAAGTTAAGAAGGTGTGGGAGGCAATTCGAGTGCCTTCCCCTACTGTGTCGTGGTTTCAAACCTTGTGGCACAAACCAGTTTACCCTAAGCATTGTATTCTAGTGTGGCTAATCATATTGGGAAGAATCATGACCAAAGAGAAATTGATAAGTTGGGGAGTGAGATGTGATGCTTGTTGTGTTTTATGCCCTGGGGGTACAGAAAGTAGAGAGCATCTCTTTGGCTCCTGTTTGTTTGGGATTGCAGTTATGCAACAGGTGCTTAAAGGAGTTTGGTCTTTTCTAGGGTTCTCTAATTGGCAGGGGCATCTTGCCTGGGCAGAAAGCAACTGGTCTACAGCTTCTGATGCAGCAGTTGTTAGTAGGGTACTCTGGTTGATGGGAATAAGTGTTATATGGAGGGAACGTTGTGCGAGGTTCTATCGATCAGTAGCAGTCAACTCCCCGTTACAAGTGGCGGCAAAGATTAAGCAAGAATTTCTGTTTTTTGCTGGCAGTCATACTACTTTCCAGTTCATAGTGCAGAAACTTAATGTAACTAGTTAGCTATTACTAGTTTTAGTGTTTCATTGAGTTGTAAACATACAGTGATGATTTGGGAGGGAAGATGCGAGATGCACTTCCCCGGGCTTCAAATACAATTTTTGATTAACCATAAAAAAAATGAGAAATTCGCTTATTTACAACTTTATTATGGCTAAAATATGAGGTATTAAAGGAAAATCCTATGTAATTTGACTAATATTACATGTAATTTAGGCAAGAACGAGTTAAGAATAGGGCAGGTCAGATCGATGAGAGATACCCATGCCCGTCACAAAACAGGCCAAACAGGCCGGGTAAAACGTGTCAGGTCGAAATTGTCATCCCTACTTTTGTCAATATTTTTTTTATAGTTATATTAAGCTGAGCTTTCTGTACTTTTGTTCACTAATTAGGGATTAAGGGTCCTTATTGATGAGTAGGGATGACAATGGGTCGGGTTGGGGCGGGTTGTGCCAAACCCAAACCCGAATTTATGGGTTTATCCGCCAAAAAAACCAGAGGTAAAACCAGTTGGGTTTGAAAAATTCAACCCAACCCGCTGGGTATCCGCGGATTAATGGATACCCGTGGATTTTTGTGGTAAAAAATTTACAATACCAAGTTTCTTTCGAAATAAAGGTCTAACATCAATTTTGCCATACAAAAAACACCAATCTAGAGCATACAAGCAAACCGCAAATTATCAATACAAATTGTTCAAAATTAAAGATAAACATCTATAAACAACATGATTAATTGAAAACTTCTTCCTTCTTGTCAACTAAGTTTCTTCACTCTCTACTCCATAATATCAACTTCATTCTACACAATTAAAAAGAATAAATTAGATATGTCTCTACAAACATAAAGAAGATTAGTTGTGTAAGGAATATATATTGCTTAAAATATTAAATATACCGGAATAACTAATTATATAGGTGTGGACTAGAAGATTGGATCCTCCTCTTTTTCCATCCATCAGTTCAGATATATTACTTGCATCATGAGTTCTCAAAGTGTATGGCCGAATGACGGCTTGTTTAGAAACACATGCAAGATTGGCAATCGTTAGGAAAGACTGTGAGAGGGTCAGAGAAATAAAGGGAAAAAATATACATAACTAAGAGATCAAGAGTAATGATCTTTCACAATTCAACCTCGTACAAAAGCTGGTACCAAATGCATAAAAATCAAGTCATAGCTGCATACCAAGTTGATCCAATTAAGTCCAACTACGGGAGGATTCAACTATTACCCATACAATGACGTTTACACATCCGACTTGTAATCTTTGAAGTTTGATGTATTATTTAGGGTTCATACATTATTTTTGCTTGAACTATGATCATATAATCAACTTTGGCTTGTGGTTTCGGAAATTAACATTCGTGGCATCAACTATGCAACATATAGATGCAATTGGCCCGACACGTGGTTTGACCGTCAATTTGGACGGTCAACACCGTTGATCGTTAGTCAACATGCCATGTCAGCCTAAAAATTTATATTTTATTTTTTGGGTAATTTGAAAATGATAAATTTTATAAACTAACTAAAAATTATCAAATTATTATAAATTTTATTTTTTGGTTAATTTGAAAATGATAAATAATAGAAATTAGGAAAACAAATTTAATGATTTTTAGGTTGACGAGGCAATGACATGGCATGTTGACTAACGGTCAGCGAGGTTGACCGTCCAAATTGACGGTCAAATCATGTGTGAGGCCAATTGAGTCTATATGTTGTATAATTGCGGGCAGGATGTTAATTTCTGAAACCACATAACAAAGTTGTTATATGGTCATAGTTCGGGCCAAAATAAAATATTAACCCTATTATTTAGTGTGTTACTTTCAATTATGTTTTTTTAATTGTGTCGTTAATATATTTGATGTACTTTCTTTAATATTAATAAAAAGAGCAGTAAAATTTATTTTGTGGCCGAATTAAAAATAACCATGTAAATAATGACAGGATGATGTAAGTAAAATGACAAAATCAACACTCAACTAATTTCGACAAAAACTGTTGTTAGAATGGATCGGGATAATCGACAATGCAAGAAAGTAAAGTACACACAGATTTAAGTAGTTCACTAACACAAAGTGGGTTAGTTAGTCAACGGGCAAGAGAGAGCCAGTTTCACTATACTTTAGGATATGCATATTACATAGGGATATGCAAACTATATATAGTACTTCTCCAAACGATCTAACCCTTATCCAATCATGTAAAGAATAATGTTACATATCAGGTCCAAAACAGAAACTCACTTTACAGCGAGACCCCCTGTGACTTCCAGTCGACATGAGATAATCCGATTCAACTCATATCAACAATTTTTTTTACACTTTCCAACTTTTCCTCCTTATCTTATCACGACTCTTTTTTTCTCTCTCTCCAATTCTCCTATCTTGACTCTAATCTAGGCTCTATCATATCGTTTGGTATAAATGACTTTCATAAGTTTTTGAGAAATTCATTTTAAAATGAAATCATTTTTTGTTTGTAATATAAATGAATTTATTTTCAATTCTGAAATTTGAATTATACAGAAATGAAGCTAGTTTTAGCAATTCCAAGGAATTGAGGTGAAATTTGCAAATGAATTCCGCAAATATTTTACTAATTATGAATAACTATCTTCAATTATTAAGTAAGCTACCCCTGTATATAACTTCTCCCTAATATTCCATATTTGTGCACCTAACCTTCCTTACTCATCTAATGCTTAACCAAATATATAATCATGAAGATCAATCTCTCTTTGTTTACGAGAAAAAAATGGTATACAAATTACAAGGAATGTTTTTAGAAGATAGATCTTGAAATTGTATACCAGCTTTTTAAGAAACTTTTATTTTTGCTTGATCGAAGTGGTTGGATATAACTATAAGGGTGACACTTTGTGTTTTTAGAAAGTATGTGTATAGTTCAGGCCAAACTAAGGTATTAACCCTAAAGATAATAAGAGTATATGTAGTTGAAAATTAATTTGATATAATTCTAAACGCAATTCAAATATAATTTGAGAATTCAATTTAATTTATTTATAAAAAATTGAATATGACATTTCAAATATAGGAATTCATCCAACATTGGATTCTAGACAAAATTTTATTTTAAAATTAAAAAAATTCTTAATTCATTTTATTCCAAACAATTTGTAGAGTAAAAAACTAAAAACTCAAAATACAATTTTTTTGGGAAAAATACCCATTTTTTTTTTTTAACTCTTTTCCCACCTTTGATTTTTCCCCACCTTTGATTTTTCCCCCCACCTTTTATTGCAGGTTGGTGTAAAGTAAAAACGAGAGCAGACTGCAGCAAAGATCTTCATATTCTTTCCTGCCCAACGACCCACGCCAAGAGCAGCCGATTAACCCCGATTTGACGATTTTCTCAGACCTACATTGGAATGGCAGAAGGGAAATAACCTCAGGAAACCACAAGGATCAGCAAGGATAAGTCCATCAGGAAAGATCCCAGAAACCTTGGGGAGAGCTCGAGGATAGAAAGTAGAAACGAGAGAGGGGATCTGTCAACAATTGAAGCGATCTGAGCAGCAATAAAGATGGAGGGAGTCGGAGCGCGACTGGGACGTTCCTCCACTCGATACGGGCCGACGACGGTGTTTACCGGCCCTGTCCGGAGGTGGAAGAAGAGATGGGTCCACGTATTGCCGTCGTTAAATAGTAATTCTGCCCACAACGGTGGTCAGTCTCATTCCAATCTCATCACCAACGGTACCGCCGCCGCGGCTTCCGGCGCTGCTAATGGTAATCATAGTAGTTCGCATCTCTTGCTTTACAAGTGGACTCCTTTACCCCAATCCAACAACAGCAACAGCAACAGCAACACCAGCAATAAGGACAGCGGCGGCGTCGCTGTTGCTACCGACGAAGCGCCTGAGGAGCCCCAAAGGCGCAAATGCAAATACATCCCGGTATTTCCCCCTTCCATCTATCCTTTGCTGTTTAATCTGCATTCAATGTAATATTGGTTGTTGGATCCAAATCTACTATTAGTACTACAGTAAAGAACTTGTCTTTGGCTAGTGTGACAATTGATTGCAATGTTACCCTGCCTCAGCCCCATTGCACTCACCATCAGAGGAGGGGTCTGAGTCAGATTTGATGGAGCCAGCGATCCTTATGATACTAGTAGATTCACCCCTTTTTCTTGAGCTTTCTATTGATGGGTAGTGATTGATACCAAGTTTGAACTTATCGACCTCCTGTGATACAGTTTGATGAATCTTGGGCATTCACATTCCCTTAACACATGCGGTGATACGAGTTCCATATCAGGGCTTCATTTCCATCACAAATATATTTCTAGGGCATTTTTCACTTTTCAGGGCAGGTTTGCACTTCAGATATGCTGAAAATGCTAATATTGCTGAATGTTTGCATTTATTATTAGTTTTGTTGATTGTTTTAGGCACTAACGTGGTAGGAACTTTTATTCAACATAGGTGGCTTTGCTAGAGGCACAGAGAATAGAAGCTGATGAAGAAATGATTGATGATGAAGTTAAACCAAGCGACGGTGAAGGAAATGTCGATGACCCAGTTTCTACATCTGCTGGGGTTGACGAAAAACCTGATATTAATGAGTCGCCAAAAGAAAGCCAGGTTAACACTCATCTTCTTTTTCATTTAGCGGTCTTCGTTTGGCTGCTGCACATATCCATTGTCCATCAGCTCAGTTGTGGTTTGGCAATATCGAGTGATTTGATAGTGAATGATGTCCTGGATTATGTTCGAGCTCAGGGTAGTGGTCCTCCATTCGTCTTCTTTTTTGTGTTGTATGTTATTAGTTATTCATTTCCAAATGAAGTATGAAAAAGCACCCGACATACTGTCTAATGCTTCTCATTTTGTTCCTCTTTGCTAATGTGGGATTTGTTGTTGGCTTCCATCATGGTTGGTTGTTTTTCTTTTCCACAAGTAATGCAGTTCCAAATGGTTTTAGCTCTGAGATAGCACACAGAAAACTGTGAGATGCTTCTCATTTCCCACCTCTATGCTGATGTGTCATTTCCTGTTGGCTTCTCTCAGGATGATGAACAAGTGGTACGGCAAGACCTGAATGAGAGTACCTTAGATTTGTGCTTAGGATTGAACTCGCATGATCATGATTCGGAATCAAAACCTGAGGAGCTTGGTCAAACTCAATCTGTCCAGGTTGATGATTCAGCTCCTTCATGAAAGGCAATGCTAAATTTGTTTGTTCTTGATTTGAAGAAACTTTATACCTTGAGTTGATCATTTGGTCAGAGCTTTTGTGCTTCTTAGAGGCAGGCGCATTCACATGACCAATTTGAGTTGGTTCTTCTGCTGCTGACGTAACCGGGATTGATGCTTCAACAGATTCAATATTTTATGATTTCAGTTGAGAAATGGCTAAATTTAATCACACTATGGTTGTTTCGTCATTGACAATTCCACTTTTTGAATTCAGATATTGTTCGGCTTCTTTGTTATGAACATTACCTTCTATTATTCTTTTTGTTTAGCATCTTTTCTGATATTCATTACAAGAGACATCTAGGTTTTACATTTACATCAATCATACTAGTCACTAGTCAGTTGAAAGTGAAATCCAAACAATGAAGTGCTTTGTTTGGGGAATCATCGTCCCTGGCGTTAATGTTTTCCTGCTTCTACTTGGTCCAGATGCCAGATCCCCCTACCCAAGTGAAGCAAACCCCAAACCAAAAAATTTATTTTTTCGAAGGGGGTTGAGATGTGTCTTCAAACCCTTCCCTCACGTGGTAAAGCTTCTTTCTTAGCTCTTGGGGAATGTGGTGTGCTGCTTCTGTTGTTGTAGCTTTGCGACAAGATGGGATAGCTATGCATGTACAGGTATTGATGATGATGATGTTGATGGTGAGGATGATGAGCTGACAGATATGCAGCCTTTCAGCCGTTCAAGAATGAGGTTGCGGCTAACTAGTCTGGCATGTGAAGTAAGAGGAAGACCCTCTTTCACGCATTCATCATATTTCTCCAAAGCACAGACAATATCTCTGAAATCTGGCCGCTTTGATGGATTAGCAGCCCAACAACACTTGATTAAGTGTGCAAGTGCAGGCTGACAACTCGCTGGAAGCGGGGGTCGTTCCTTCTGTCAGAAACACCACCAAAGGAGGGATAATGCAAACATCAGAAAGAGATATGGGAGGTGGCTCATTTGATGACTCAGTAAATGAACGTCACTAGTCTTTTGGCATGGAATAAGGAGGAAATCAGCTACAAACAGTGGAAAGTCTTACCTTCTCAGCCACTGCATATGCGGCCTGGACTGGAGTCATTCCTTGAAATGGAAGCAAAGCCGTGGTGAGCTCCCACAAGACAATCCCAAAGCTATAGACGTCGACTTTACGAGTGTAAGGTTTCTCCTTTATCATCTCCGGAGCCATCCACCGATAAGTGCCTTTGTTTCCTTTAGTCTCCAGGCATTGTGTCTCTAGGCATGAGGTACCAAAATCTGCCACCTTAACCCGCATCTCATCGTTCAGAAGCAAATTGTTTGATTTCAAGTCTCTGTGAATTACACCTTGTGAATGAAGGTACTCCATCCCTCGTGATATGTCGAGAGCTAGCCTCAGGATCGTCTCTGTTGATAGAGAGTAGGGCTCTTTCTTGTTGAGGTACATTCTGAGTGTTCCTTGTGACATATACTCGGTGATGATGCAGTACACAGGGGGCTTCTTGCATGCAGCAATGAACTGAATAATATACAGCAACGACAATAACAGTAGGAGGATTGAGCAATTGTCCATGGTTCTGACAATTTAGGTTTTAGAGAACTAGATCTAGAGTTCAGTGATTGCAGAAGTGACCTATACATTTATTCTCAGTTTCTCACTCCCTAGGCTGGTATCATACTTGATAAGATCTTGTTTAAGCCACAAGAAAGAAGAAAAGGAGGAAACAGTTACCTGCACGATATTGGGATGATAGAGCCGGGAGAGCAAAGCAACTTCAGATTTGAACTGCTGCTCGAGGAGAGATCTAGTCTCCTCTTTCTGGTTCGGGATCCTGACCATCTTAACAGCAACTGCTCTCTGCTTGTAGATTCCTCGATATATCCTACTGTGCGCCCCAGAGGCGAACTTGTTCCCTATAAACAACTGAGAGAGGTCGGCTGTCCACTCCTCTTGGTCTTCCTTGGGAGAGGCCTCCCAGGTCTCCACGTTCTCAGACTCCAGTATCATGGACCAGGATTCCAAGCTGTCGAACCTCTTCCTCTCCATGGTCTCGGAGTTCAACTGGTGCCCTCTCGACGATACGGAAGGTACTGCTAATCTTCGTTTGCTCCTGGGTTTCCCATGGCAGAAAGCAGGGAACCAAGAACCAGCCATTGCAATACTAATAACTAACTTTTTCCCCAAGGAAAGAAGATACAGAGGATGCAGTGATCAAGAGAGAGGGCCATTTCAGGAAGTGCATGAACTGATTCAAAACGTAGGAAAGAAACAGGGAGAAGGTTTCAAGCTTTCATGGCCGAACTGCAAAATTGCAGGAGGGAGTTGAGAGAGATGACAGACATTGTGGAGTGGAGGTTGATGTGATGAGATTAGAGGTGGGTTTTGGAACTGGCATGGAAAGATGAAAGATGATGAACACAGAGTGGGGGGATTTCAGGGACGTCTCGTGATTGTCCCATCTGAAAGTTTGTAGCTTTTTAGTTGGAATGGAAGGAAAGGAGGGCAGCTTTTTCCTCTTCCTTGCGCCTTCTCTGCTTTACGTATTTCCTTCTTTAAGTTCTAACCCTTTCTCCCTTGCCCCGCAGTCTGATGCAGTTTTCGTGTGGATACATGAATTTTTTGGATTGATTAATTAATTATTTGAAGTAGATGAACTTTTGAATAAATTATGAAAGTGATTTGATATAAAAAAAAAATTATACAAAATTGTGTTTTTTCCCTATTAATTAAGATTTCTATTAAGCTCACGATCAAGCCTAAAAAAATTAGGATAACGTCCACTTGATTGACTACATAAAAATACAAAACAACTCAAAGCAATCTGCTAAAAATTAACAAACTCTACACTTCTAATCTAAATCTCATATTGTTTGTGCAAAAAGCAAAAATTCTTCTTTAAATTGGACAAATAGAGCCTCTCAATCCTTACTAAGACCGCCAAAAACTCTACTACACCTTTCCTTCCAAATCAATACTACAGATTAGCACCATACAATACCAACGACACGGCCATATGCACCACCGTTCTTGACCTCTGCACACACCTTCCGAGGCAGGTCATCCCAATTACTTGGCCAAACTTGTAGTATCCTGTCAAAAATCGCATGGAAAAATTGTAATGTATATGAACAACTGTCAAAATTGATCATGTAGCCAAACTGATCCAGGAATCGAAATCCAGCCCGACCCTCAAGATTCGGGGGCAGGTAAGTGAGTTTTTAGGGTCAACCTTACATCCCTACACACTTTCATTATGTTAGAATTCTGAGTATGCTACACTAAAAACTTCAAAATTGACTTGTCTTCCCATGTGATTACACCTCACCCCCCATTCTGAACTGATACCAGCCTTGTAAGAGGTATTTTATCCATTTCACAACTTTATAGTTGCAACAGATGTGTCATTTATAATTTTTGAACGTGTCTCCTAGATCGTAATTTTGAAATTTTATAATGACGAAACATGTATTTTCCAGCAAAATCTTGAAATGGATATGGGTAGATTGTTGACACACCTCTCCCTCATCTAGAACCTCCTCTCCCGGTGGTTATTGATTGTTTGAGCATGGTTGAAACCCTTTCGTGCAAAAGCATAGAAGGGAGAGCAAGTACCGTTTCCTCAAACCACGAGAAGGGGCAAAGTGACCCGGTGGATGATCATTAACCACAACAAAAAAACGTGCCAGTGGTGACACTTTCTTAGTTTCTTTGATTGAATGGATCCAAATATGAGAAAAACTCATTTTCTAAAGAAAGAGAAAACGATCACTTGAAAAAGAAAATATGATCACTCCTCCTAGGGCTGGGCATGCGGGCGGATTATCCGCGGATTTGGACCGACCCATCGGCATTTGACCCGAATTTTGTTAAGTGGGTGGGTCTGTGGGTGGGTGACGGGTTGCGCGGGGAGCCATCCGCCGGGTGGTGGGTGGGTTGTGGGTGAGTGTGCGGGTGACCCGCTCAACCCAACAACAAAAAGATCAAAGTCGTTGGCGCTAGAGAGAGGAGAGTGGAGACGTTAGATATAAACTCGGACTGCTCCTGGAGTTTAAACCTCAAGCCAACCTTCCAAATAGAGATCCCCTCTTCTTCCCTTTACTTTTTCCTCTAATTCTTGTGCCTAGATCACCGCTCTTTCCTTTGTGGAATTATTTTCCTTAGTTCCTTGCACCTAATAATCGTCTCAATCTGTAGAAAACTCTTTCATAATAGAATTTCTATCCAATTTAAGAACTAATTCGACATTTTTCGCCCTATTTCAACTTCTTGTTTCCCTCGATGATTCTCTTCACCTATTATCATGTCAAGTTGACTCCTTTATATTATATACATTGTGATGTGGGTTCGATGTGGATGAACCCACAAACTCACCCGCATCATCCACCATCCGCCCGACCCAACCCGAGACTAAATGTGGGTGCATTTTATAGTCAAAATCCACCCGACCCACCCAATGCCCACCCCTAGGAGAAAGGGTACTAGGAGGCAAAGGGTACTAGGAGCCTCCTAGTACCCTTTCTCCATGTCTAGGTCCTCTTCTCAGGTCGGTCCGCAGGCGGCTGCGGCCCATTCTCCTGATGGGCTTTCCTCACCAGTTCATCCGCTAAATTAAAGGAATTAATCGCCGGCCCGTCCATCAGCTTACGCACTCCCCGATAAGCCCCGGCCCAAATGGTGTTCCGGAACCCAGTCGAAAACAGACGGCCGGCAGAAGAGAGGGAACGTACAACGTTGCATTTTTTGCTGGGGAAGTGGACAATTCCTCCTGATTCCCTCCCTTTCCCCATCACCCCCGCTCCGGCGCTCCACCACGAAATGGAATTTCAGTTTCAGTGGGCGTCTAAGGGAGCCGGAGACTGACTCGAGAGGTTTAAGCTTTTGCACCGCCATGACACTGGCCGCTCTGTGTAGTTCTACTGTACCTGCCATCTCGCCGGCAACATACACCGCCGGAAACAACCTTTCTCGTACCAATCTCCTTCCCCTGGTTCCACTCCGCCCGTCATTTTCCAGGTATGCTTCGCCTTCTTCTCTACAATTTTCCGGCATCTCCTCCTATCGGAAACATTCCTCGGCTATGTGTTTAACTTCCCTCGCTTCTAGTTACTCTGATTGTTGATCGATTTATTAAAAGGAATTTGCAGTAAGCTCCTCCTGTCTTTGTGAAACTAATGCTTCCTTTTCTGTTTCCTCCAATTTCCAGGACTCGAAACCCTAGCAAATTCAGCAAATCATATCCGGTCAGAGCAGCTGTGGTGCGCGAACAGGAGGAGAAGGAGGTGGTTGTAGAAGAAACTTTTCGACCCAAGACATCTGGCTTCAATGTACAGGAGGGCGGCAGTGGTGGCTCACAGTCACAGAGGGAGCCTCCTCAACCTGATTCTGATCAGTTGATCATCAAGATTGAGCAATCCATTAACGTCTTTCTCACTGTAATTTTATCCATTTCGATTGTTAGGCACACACACTTCTAATCCTAAAATGTTGTTCTGATTAGATTTCCCGGAGCAGTGTTTCTGCTTCTGATTATAGTAGCTCTACTGATATTGCCAGGACACGGTGATAAAGGTTCTCGACACCTTCTACCGCGATCGAGATTATGCTAGGTTCTTCGTCCTTGAAACCATTGCGAGGGTTCCTTATTTTGGTGAGTCCTTGTTGTTGTTTACGTAGCTAACTACTCTTTATTCGTCAGTTTGGTACTAATACTTGTGACTGACTATCCACGGTTCATTTCTATCGCAGCCTTCATTTCAGTTCTGCACTTGTATGAGAGTTTTGGTTGGTGGAGAAGAGCAGATTATCTGAAAGTTCATTTTGCTGAGAGTTGGAATGAGATGCACCACTTACTCATCATGGAAGTAAGGATCCTTTGCGAATAATAAGTATCCACTATGTCTTGTGGCATTGTTAATATTCAGTGGCAGGACATGGTATATTATACTTGTGAAGTTGTCATCACTTAATTCCTCCCCATGCCCACGTGGTAGTTTCCCCGAGTGTAGGATTGTGCAGATGAGGAAAAATTTGATTGCATTTTGATTGTCAATAAAAAGAAAGAGGTTTGCAATAACAGGGAACCAGAATTACAACTTATGTTGATGGCAATGGTTTTGTGTTTGCAGGAACTGGGGGGAAATAGTTGGTGGTTTGACCGATTCCTCGCTCAACATATTGCAGTCTTTTACTATTTTATGACTGTCTTTATGTATGCATTGAGCCCAAGAATGGCTTGTAAGTGCTTTCTCTGTTTTGATTTAAGTACTTCCATATATCTCCTGTTTTATACATTTTCCTCTAGTTTTCTCTTTTGTTACTGTTCACCGTTGTTTTCTATGGTAGGTAATAGATGGCATATTAAATGAAATCCTTGATCATAGAGGCTAATGTCTTATACTTTGCTCAAACAATAAAAAGAAGCAACGTTTACTCTTTTCTTTCACGGAGTTCACCCAGGACCTGCAAAAACTTCTCATTCTGATATTCAATCTTTTGAGTTTCTTTAGGTCAGAGGATGAATAATCTGTTTGTCCTTCTTGATGAGCAGTTCATCCTAAAATAATTTTGTTCATCATCGTTGCAGATCACTTTTCTGAATGCGTGGAACACCATGCTTATTCAACCTATGATAAATTTATCAAGGCGAATGGAGGTATGGTGGCATACAATCTTGGATCGCCAGTTAGATTATTGCTGTCTTTTGATTACAAATTATCCATATAGTTTATCTGTCGGATGGTGGTGTTTGTGATTAGATTGTTGCTTCTTGGAATCCATGCTGTGCACTAAACCTTGAGTAAGACCCTTATCATCTATAAGAAATTGTACCCTCATGTTTGGCATCATTTCATAAAGCTGCTCCCTCAAGTGTTCGTTTATTTTAGCTTCTATAGAGAAATAAGTGCTGAAAATCGAGTCATAGGAACTGGAGGTAGTTAAATGGATAAATTTTTTGATGGATTCTGCTGAACAAAGTTGAATATTGTCTTTAAGGGGAATGGAAAGAAATAAAAGTACATTATCCATGGCAAGAGAAAACAATCTTTTCCACAGGTGTTTCTGTTTGCTCTTCAAGCTTAACGAAATAGGGTAGTAGAAAAGAGATTCAAGTAAGCTAGCCGCAAGAAACATATCCACCAATTGATTCATCCTACTCACTGTGGTGCACATATCTGTGCAGACGAGTTGAAGGAAATGCCAGCGCCGGAGGTTGCAGTTAGGTACTACACCGGCGGTGACTTATACTTGTTTGGTACGTATGTTTCTGCTTAGTGATATCCCTCCCACCACCACTTGATATTGGTCTTTAAAGCATCACAATTTGAATATTGGTTTCCCCCCCTTTTTGAACACAGATGAATTTCAGACTTCCAGAGTCCCTAACTCACGTAGGCCGAAAATAGGTAACGTCTCACTCATTATGATTTATGATCACAAAAATTGATAATCTTGGTCACTTTATACCTGGAAAGAAGAATTCCATTATGGAAATTGAATTTTATGTGGCTTAAAAGTTTTGATTTCTAATTCCCCTCCGGAGGTAGGAATGGCAATGGGGCAGGTCCGGTCGAAATTGCCATCCCTATCCGGAGGTGATGATATGAATCGATCTGATGAAATGGAATCTGTATGTTTTGGGCATTTGATCTGCCATCTCGTCTTCTGCGTGCGGATAATTTGTACGACACTTTTGTGAACATCAGAGAAGATGAGGGGGAACACTGCCAAACCATGAAGGCATCTCAAACTCCTGGTAATCTGCGCTCTCCACATTCATATGCAGATGATGGCAGCAAGGAAGACGAATTATCTTCCGGATGCATGGATACTGAATTGCATTGCGAAGGCATTGTTGACTGCTTAAAGAAATCTGTAGGTCCTGGATTATCCAAGACTAAACAGTAAAGTTTAACCAACAGAAACCTTGGATACTATATTTTGACTGTATGTAAATGCTAGTATTATAGTGTGGATTTAGACATTGAGAAAACAATATACGGCAGCGGGATAAGGTGTATTAACTCCCCTCCAAGATCTAGAATCAAATGTATAAACTTTATTGTGAATTCTTTATTTTGGTTGCGTCAATTCTTTTATTCTGCTAATCTTTATTCTGCTAATGTCTTGGATAGTGATGGCAATTTAAACCTGTCCTGTTGGTATTATTCGATTTGACCCGTGATGAGGTGGGTATTACCCAATCTGCAGTAGTGTGTGTGGGCCATGAGTATTTACTTTTGACTCGCCTAGTGCTGCAAATGAGCCGAGCTGCTCGCGAGCGGCTCGGCGTTCGACTCGAGAAAAGCTCGTTCGAAACTAGACTCGTTAATAAACGAGTCGAACATGAGTTAAGCTTTGTTCAGCTTGTGAAGCTCGCGAGCTAGCTCGACTCGGTGGCTTGTTGAGCTAAACAAGTGAGTTGACTCGTTTAGAGCTCATGATATGTCTCAACATGTGGCTAGAGAGCCCACTTGATTGTCGACTTATGAACGAATCAATCTATATCTTATGATTTTAATTCATATGGTTGTTAAATTATATATCTCGCCATATATAAAGTTTAACACGTTGAGTATGTGAGCAAATATATCTTATTTTCTATTTTAAAAAGAAATTATGTATCATAGATTGTTTCGATACTATGAAATAATATGCTTTGGAGTAGTTAAAATTTATTAACTAAATGATATATGATACCAGCAAAGTATAATATAAGATTAGCTAACAAAATAAATCATATGTATCATGATATACAAAATGAAGTACCAAATAAAAGTCAAGATTTTAGTAAACAAGCTAGCTCGAGCTCGACTCGACTCGGCTCGTTATTAAACGAGTTGAGCTCGAATTTGGCTCGTTTATTAACAAGCCGAGATCAATCTGGGGTAAACCTCGACTCAGCTCATTTGCAGCCCTAGACTCGCCTTGCCCCGTCTTGTTTTTGGCACATTCTATATCAATTTTTTATAGTTTCCATGCATATTTCTCCTAATTTGACTTTTCTTCAACTAACTAGAGTCGGTAAATTTAACTTGTTAGACTCAATTACCAATTCCTATATTACTATTTTTCATTCATAAAATGTTTTCAAATTCGTTTTATCGTAAAAACTAAATGATAGAACCTGATATTAGGGTTCTATCATATCTGGTTGTGAGATTGGGAATTAGGGATTTAAGAGTAGAATTAGGGATTTGAGAAGAGAATGATAGAGAATCGGCCTAGGCCTTTAGAGGGTTTGAGAACGAGAATTGAGAGTATTAGGAGAATAGGATTTAGGAAGGCTTTTCTTAATATTCTTCTTGACTGATCATAATGAAATCCCAAAGTTCACTTATATAGGAAAAGATAGAAAACCCTAATAATAAACCTAATTCTACTAAAAGACTACTATCCTTATTTGTAAATATCATAATAATAATTATGATAATGATGATATAACCCGTAAATTGGATTTCTATAACTAAATTTACGTGTATTTTTCTCAAATAACATGTAAAAATGATTCGAGACGCCCCATACTCGCATAAGATATAAATATTGAGGTAACCGCCCTCATTACCATTTGCCATCACTACTCTTGGACACGGGTTAGATCAGCTCCTTAAGGCCTATTTCTTATGAAAGATCTTAAACCCTTTTACACCAATAGGAGAAGAGAGAGAGAGAGTCATTAGTAATTACTGTCCAACTACCAAACAGAAACATAAAAGGGTAAGACGGGAATAGAGTAAAAAATTAACTATTAATAATTACTATGGGGAAACTGCCGAAAATAAAACAAACGTGGGTGGAGATTTATTTTCGAGCCCATGTCGTCCTCCCAACCCTAAAACCGCTTCGACACTCGCCGCCGCCGTCTGGACAACCTTCGTCAGCAATCTCGGCGTCTGCGTCCCGTCGTCACGTTGCCATCCCTGCGTCGGCGTCCCGTGATCACGTCGTCAGGTCACCATCTTCCTGTCGTCACGGCGCCATCATGCCGTCGATTTCCCATCAGCTTCCTCGTCCCATTCTCGTCGTCATCCTGCATGACTCTGCCGTCATCCCACCGCCATCCGACATCTCCCCCATCCGGTCGTCGCCCCATCTTGCCGGTCTCCCGCTGTCGAGGCGGATCTTGTTAATAATATTGTTGTTTACGTTGAAAAACGAAGAGAATTTTTTAATAATGAATTCGTCATTTGTTGTGAATTATGTAGGAAATGTTAATAATGATATTGTATATTGTTAATAATATTGAGCTGAAAAGTTGATAATAGCGTTACTAAAAATGTTTACAACACAACAAGTAAATCAAGCTTCAATTCGATTGAGAATGTTAATTATAGGAAAATGTTAATAATGTAGGTGAAAACATTAATATGTACTGTGAAAACGTTGACAGCTCGGTTATGCTGCTTTAAAAACCTCAAATCACAAGCTAATCTTATTGTGACAACATTTTAGTAACTGGTAAATAATTTCGATGATCTAATTAATAATACTGATGTGGTAGGTTAATAATGTTTACAACATGGTCGGTAAATTGCGTTTCAATTTGATTGAGAAGGTTAATAATAGCATCACAGAAAAATATTAATAACGTTTGTGAAAAAACTAATATGTACTGTTGAATGTTGACAACGTTGACAACTCCGCCCCTTATTGTCACAGCATTTTAGTTACCGGTTAAATTTCAGTAATATAATTAATATTAGAGTCGCAGAGGTTAATACTGTGGACAATACGACCACTAAATCGTGTTTTTTATTGATAATTCTAGTAGCGTCAGCAAAAAAATGTTAATAACGTTTGCCAAATCATTAATATGTACGGTTGAAAATGTTGACAAATCCGTTACATTGCTTTGAAAACCTCAATCCACCAGCTGCTCAATCCACAGGCTCCTCCGTTACGTTGACAACTCCCTCACGTTTCTTTTCGATGGCAAGCGACGGACGTAGCGGGCTGACAACAAGTTTGTTCTTACAGATCTTGGATTATGATATATCGTGTAGCACTACAAAAAATTGATTATTATGTTCAAAATATTACTAATGCTGAAAAAACGTTAATAATGAACAAAGATTGTTAATACTACACGTTAATTCAACCGACATACTAGTAAAAAATTAATCATGACTTTGAAAATATTACTAATGGATGAAGAAACGTTAATAATAAACTAAGGCCCCGTTTAGTATTATTTTGTTGTTGTTGTGGTTGCACTGATGTTGTGCAAACAGATGTACAACCACAACATAAAAAAAATACACAACACAAACTTGTTTAGCTGGTAAATTTGAGAAATGATAAAAACTGACAACAAAAAACAAAACACACGTTTAGTTACTTCTACCTTATACAACTCACAATGCATGAAGTTGGTTTATGTAGTTATCCATCCAATTCATCTTTTTTTTTTTTTTTGACAAAAGATAATCATATATATTGATTCAAAAAAAGACAGTTACACCCTGGAGAGCAGCCAGGTCTGTAAATCAAACACACGACTCGCAGTCGGGGACAAGGACAGGGCCTTCTTAGCCACCACATGGGCTACCCTATTGTTACACCGACCTACAAACCGAATTCTAAATCCCGGATGCGAGGAAAAATTAGAAACAACTTCTTCTAGCACAGCCCCCATCCTACTATCTCCTTTCTCTGCCCGAATGATCTTATCAATGACAACCTTGGCGTCCCCCTCAAAGAAGACTTCTAAAAACCCAAGCTCCAGACACCACAAAACTGCCTCACGAAGGGCTAGAACCTCAACAACGAGTGGGTCATTAATGTAAGGGAAGTGGACCCCGCGAGCCATCAAAATATCCCGCCCGGGGGTCATCAGAACAATCCCTCCTGCCGAGTAGGACCCACGCCGCGTCGCCCCATCCCACATACAAACAACCGACCCCATACACCTATTTGCGGGGATTGTGGGAGGCATCCTTGGAGCAAAATTTTTGCTGGGCCGTTCCGGTGGAACACGCAGCCACTCATCCAGCTGTTGATTAAACTGCCGCATCAAAGCCTGGATCCCAAATTGTTTACCTTCAAAAACAACCCAATTCCGGGATCGCCAGATCCTCCAAAGGACAGCAATCACAGCCATCACCAAAGGCGGCTGACTAATGAGAGCTAATAACCGTTTCAGAAATAGCGGGAACGTCTGACGAGGCAACCCTTGGCCCAGATATTCCAACCCCGCATAATCCCAGAGAGCACGAGCCACTGGGCATTCCAGAAACAAGTGCTCCATGGTTTTCGTTGCATCCCAACACACAGGACATCTAGGGTGGACCAAAACACCTTTCTCTGCAAGAGCTTCCGTGGTAGGGAGAATCCGATTGAAAATTTGCCAAACAAACACCTTTAACTTAGGCGGTATGTGGGCATCCCACAATCGGAGCCAGCTGGGCCTATCCATCCAACTAACCGTCGCTTTCCATCTCGACTGTTGCTGATCCAATCTTACCGCCAGGTGGTAGGCCGATTTGACCGTAAAAACTCCATCCGGCGTATCATGCCAGACCAGCTTATCATCAATATCCTGACGTGGAAGCGGAATAGCTTTTATGGCTCGACAAGTTGGAGGATCAAACCATTGGCCAAGCTTCGCCTCACACCAACGACCTTCACCAACACAGATCACTTCCTCCACCAGTACCTCGCCCTCCACCGGAAGCACTAGGGGATTATATCGGGGCGGAGAGGGGTGAAGCTGGGGCACCCAATTGGATGAAAAAAGAGACGCCTTCCGACCATTACCTATCTGCCACCTTAACCCTTGCTCCAACAACTCCCTTCCAAACAACACACTTTGCCAGCCCCATGAAGGTCGCGGGCGAGCTTTAGCATGAAGGAAAGAACCATGAGGGAAGTATTTGCCTTTGTACACTTGGGCTAGCAGTGATTGGGGCTCAGTAATGATCTGCCACCCAATCTTAGCCAACAAGGCCTGGTTAAAGAGCTCAAACCGACGGAACCCCATCGCCCCATCATGTTTACTCTTACACATATTTCGCCAGGAGACCCACCTAATTTTCTCATGGCCTTCCGCCGCATTCCACCAAAACCGAGCCACATGCTTATCCAAAAGACGA